CCCCAAAACCCCAAAACCCCTCTTGATTTTCTAACTCAAAATTATCGAAATCAATTTTAATTATTCATTAGATTTAATGCAATTCCATAACCTTTAACACTGCATCATAAACATCTTAGACTATAAAATCTGGATTTTCACTCTCCATGCCTTCTGTATAATTGCCTGATTTAACTAAAATGGTTTTGAAGCCATTTTAATTCCCACCAACAATATCAATCTCTGGAGAATCGCCAACCATAAATAAATCTAAGTTATCAGTTTAGGTTTGTTATTTAAGAGTGTTTCTTGCATAATCAAAAGCTAGCTTTGAGGGTTTACCTAACAACTAGTACTCTATATCTAAATTATACTGCATTTTAAAGATTGTCTCAAGACATTGTTTAAACATACCCATTGAAAATCTTTATCTTAAAGATGGAAAATTTGCATTAGCATAGGGCACTTGGTAATCATGATGAGAATAATAAAGCTTTACATGTTGCTTATCAGTAGATTTTCTCTATGTGCCTAGCCATCCATCTTTTGATATCAATAGATCAGACATTATTTGCATATGAGCTTCATAATAGCTTGGACTAGTGAAAATCATTATGTCCTTGAATTGCTTTTATATGATATCTGATGGCTTATTTAATTTCAATCTTTCCAATGCTTATTTGATAAGCTTTTCAGGTTCATGAGGGTAACCAGCTTTATGATCTAATGGCACAAGTTCTGGCATGCAAGCAGAAATTTCTGGGACCGTTATAAAATCTGTAATCCCCGAATTCTCAGCGATTCCTTGAGCATACATCCCTCCACCTACTAAAGTAATGCCAGGTAAATGTCTTGTCTATTCTAGAATTATCTTCACTGGAGTATGACCTTAAACAATGTGAGAAGGTTTTAGGATGTTAGTGTTCGTAAGCTCATTTAAAAAATCTGCTCTTTATTTATCTGTGGGGTCACTTGCATTAGTCAGAATCAAGAATGGTATTTGTTTTTTCTAGAGTAATTCAAGGGCTTATCTTGCTCTAGGCAATGCTTTTCTAGATTTATAAAATACCCCTGTCGCGTCAAAAGCTATTGCTGGTCTCATTTAATTTAATTAATAAGCTTTAAATATAATTAATTGAAAGGCTCATAAATAATTATGCAACAGTTGGAAATATTAAATGATTCTTTATTTATTTTAGATAAAATTAATTTTTATATCATAATATTTTAATTGAGTGAATATGCGGGGTTTTGGGGTTTTGGGGTTTTGGGGTGAGACTGATAGCATTTATTATCTT